CACATAAATTCTTTTAGACCCTTTCAAGTTTTAGGACTTTCTTTTTTTTATGCTGAAGATCTTCACAAATTTTTTTGCTATTATTGTGAAAATCATACTGGTATTAATTTTCATAAGGGAGTCTGACTTATTCTGAAATATTTTCTTTTATTTACTTTTAAAAAATTATTATCACATAAAAGTTTGACTTAGCTGGTTGCTCAGGTAGACCACATCTTTGAGGTGGATGTGCACAATAATTTTAAGAGATACATGGAATCATACAAATATATTAGGTACCACTATTTCACAGGTTGAGATGAGATAGAAGCCCCTGAAACAGAGCATCTACATAAGGACAGAAACTAGATGGAATATGGACTTTAATTTTCTTTATGACATGTATTATACAGAGTTTATCCATATTCACATATGAATGTGGATCTGTATGTATATTACACGTTTATGAGTATGGGATTATAATATTGTACAAGTTGCTCAAATGGCAGTAGAAGCATGGACTGGGAAGTTAGACTTGAGTTCAAATCCTGACTCTCTCACTTACACATGGGCACATTATTTAATTGGAACTGCATCCTCATCTGCAAAATGGGGGAAATAATTTCTTCCAGATTGTTTGAAAAATGTATTATAATAAAGCAAAATATCTGAGATATAGTAGATGCTCCACAAATGTTGCTATTAATTTAATTGAACTTTCCATGCACCATTGGAGTATTTTCATTTCTTATTTCAATATTTTAAAGAAAATGCCTCCAATATGTATTTATCCCAACTTGTTCTTATATCTCCCTCTTGGCAGACATCTCTGCATGACTCCTGTGCAACAGTCTCTCTTCATCCTTTCAAAAGAAGTTTAAATATAAATCAAGAGGACTTCCCAGATCATTGCATGATTTGAGGTACCTGTGATTTTACATATTCTACAAAATTCTCTCTTGATAAAGTCTATAGAGATTAAAAATTGAGTTTCCCAGTTCCACCGTGTTTCTATTTTTAATTCTTCTGACCATTCTTTGTAAAAAACTCACTATTTTGTGAGCAGAATTATAAGATAAGAATTCTTTTATTTTTCAAGTACCCTAAAGGGTAAAGTTAAATCTTATTTAGGCCAGCAATAGGAAACTGACAAAAATCCAACTTCATATTGTCTCTAGTCTAAGTTTTAGTGAGCATTTTATAAAATATCTCCAAGTCCTATAAGCTACCTTGGGTGGGATGACTACAGAATGTATTGTCCATCCTGACACTCACCTGAGATTAAACAGGAAGCTATTAGTAATTACTCCAGCACAACAGGAATAAACCAGAATTGCCCTGGGCATCTGTGGTGAGGAGTTCCCTACCCCTGGGTCTTTAAGCTGACAATCCAGCCATGACAAATATGTACCTGAACTCTTGGTTAAATGCTGCTCTCTCTACAGTAAACTTTTGTATTCTTAACATCTACATTTACTTACCTTAAAGTTTTTCTAATTATCTGACATGAATAAGATTTCATTGTTTGATCTTAAGCTATGAATGAATGTCTCTCCTTTTTTAGGAATGACAGTAAGGTGGCAGGTAAGTCTTTATCTTTTCTATTTTCCCTACCAGCTCATTTTCACCTGCTCCTCTTTTCGGTTGAGGCAGATTTCTGCCATCACATGTGGCATTTTGCAGCACCCATTTCTGCCACAGGCCACTGCTCTCCTCAACTTTCTTTTCGATATGAATTGCTTTGTTTAGTCAAACCTCATTACTTATTCCACAACTGCCTCACATTGCCATTCATTATGGGAGAAGCATCTAAAGCTTTTTTTTAAAATGCACGTTCTTGAGGACACAGCTAAGATTCCCTTCTATCCAAAAACAGCTCCATTTAAAGGCAAAACTGCATGTATTGAGTTGCTTCCTTATCTATCCTGTGTGCCTCACAAATTAAACATACCAATTTCAGAGGTCAGATATGAAACCCAGGATATCTAGGTTTCTGAACAGACACGTCTCTGCCTGAAAGCACTCCCGTGATTAGGTTAACATGCATGCAAACCAATTGAGCAGAAATTGGAACAATTGTTAAAGGACAGCAATTAAGAGAAATGAGGTCATGACAGCGACTGGTAATACTGATAGCTGGAAACACAGCCATCACAGCAGAGTTTAATGTCTGACTCAGACATGGGAATGAGAAATCTCGAGTTCAGAACCAGCAAAAGGAAACAAAAAAGTTGGAAAATGTTTTGAAGCTGGAATTTTATTTATTTTGACTTTGGACATTTTTTTGAGTCTTTAAAAATAAATTAATGTCTGAGCTGGAACTAATGGTAAAATGGTATCAGCAGTTTTCCTACTTATGAGTAGGACATTAAAACTCAGTTAATACTGAACTGAAAATTTTTTTAAAATGTGGTATAAATGTTTAGTCCTTGAAATGAATCATCAAACCTATGAAAACTATTATGAGCAACAATACTACCAGGTGGGTAGGTTCATATTTTCTTTTCAAATATTAAATTAAAAGTCCCATTAAAAGAAGGCAAAATATATGTATTATGTACATAATGCTTTTGGGTAGATCTTATAGATTTTACAAGTATGAGAAAGAAAACGCAGACATCTCCACGTAACTACTATGTCTCAAGTAACAGAAAATTCTGCCAACGTTTACGAAATTCTTCACACTGAACTCCATTTTCAGGATAAAGTAATGAACTGGAGCTAATATTCAGAGTACGAGAAGTCTTTAAATATTTTTTTCAAAGGCATTCATTCCCTAGTACTGAATGTGGTATGGATCTGGCCAAGAGCATTCGGTGAAGGGACTTGAGGCCCTTGAGTTCAGAAGGTGCTCGTATCCAATTTCCCAATTTGTATTATACGTCATGTGTCAAAGTTCAGTCTGCCAGCACGCTGCTTGATCTTCTATTTTAACAAGTTTTAGGTTTCTCAAATTTCAACCCAGTTTTTCATAAAATGATAACTTTGTCAGCCCCCTGTCCTCTCTGCTGTGAGAACAGCTGCTTTATATCCAGAAGCTTTCTCTGTTCTTCGCTTCCGTGTCTATTGTCTCCTGCCCACACAATATCTTCTCCCACCTTCATATTCATTCATGGAACAATTCTAGCCATATTTGACAGCCTACACACATTAAAAAAAAAAAACACCTACAGGTTTTCTTCCACGCATTTGTCTCTTCCTTTACCCACACAGTCAACTTCTTACTCACCACTTCCTGCAACTTCAGTACCGTTTGTATTAATTCACTGGTTTTCTCCACTTTTAACATTGCTTTTCTATACTTTAACCATTTCTCATTTGTCACATTTAGTGACCTGATTTTATTATTTTGCTCTTTTTAAAAACTTCCTCTCCTGCATTAATTTGTCATAATGTTGTCATTACCTGTCTAAATGCAATGCATGATCCATTGTGCCTTCAATAGTTACTAAGTACTTGTTTTGTGCCGGGATACTAGGAACCATTCCTAAGGAGATGAATGTTCTACACCCTTAGGCGTATGTGTTCTCAAGGACCTCACCAGTGTAATGAGGAAACTAGAAACTTAACAGCTGTGACTGCCAAAGTGCTAAATGTGGCAAGATGGGCTACATTAAGTTCAACTCTTTCCCCTACAAACAACTAGATCAGTTATAAACAAAAGCAGTTGAAAATGTATGTCTGGGTTTCCAAGAAAGAAAAGTACATTCTAAAATGTACGAGCCAAAAACTACAGGGAGGGATGTACATGAGCTGCAAAATGGTGGTATGAATGGGGCTGAGTACCCAGTAGCCAAGAGCTTGGGTTTTAATGGCCACAAGAGGCAGAAGACATTGTTTATGAGCCTATATAAGGTTGGGAGCTGGAAATTGGAACCATGCATGCAGCTTGTTATCATTTAAATGTGTTTCAGAGTGTAACACTGGTGAGGGATAGGCAAGGAAATCAATCAAGCACAACAGAGACCGCAGGTACAGACCCAAATACAGACAGGGAATTAGCCAGTGAGAAAGGTAACAATAAATTCAGTGGGTAACAGCATACATTAAATAGCACTGGGACAACTGCCTAACCATAGGAAGAAAATTAAATTGCTACTTCTCACTAAAACATTTATGAACAGTTTTACTAAGGTATACTTGACATATGAAACACTGCCCATACTACGAAGTATAGTTTGGTGAATGTGGACATATGCACGGAGCCACGATCAAGACAATGAACATATTCATCAACTCCAAAAGTTTCCTAATTTCCTTTTGTAATCCCTTATTCTTACCCCAACCTACTTTCAGGCATCCACTGATTTCCTTTCCACCATTATAGAAAAGTTTGCATTTTCTAGAATTTTACATAAATGGTATCACAGAATATGTCACTTTTTAAAAAATCTGGCTTCATTCACTCAATGTAATTATTTTGAGATTTATCTAAGATGGGTATACCAATATCTAACGCTTTTTAATTGCTCAGTAGTATTCAATACACAAATTTACCTCAATTTGTTCCTCCATTTACCTGTTAATGTAAATTTGGGTTGTTAACAGTTTGGGTCATTATAAATCAAGTCACTCTGCATAAGTCTTTGCATGGACATATGTTTTCATTTCTCTTGGTCAAACACATGGAATGGTATAAATGGCATATATGGTAGGTGTTCAACATTTTAAGAAACTGCCCAATTGTTTTTTGAAGCAGTTATACCATTTTCCATTCCCATCTTAGTTAAGTAAGAAATGAAAATACTCTGATGGCATTGTTAGCACACTCTCCATCTGCCACACTGAGGAAAATATCTAAATGGACACTTTGAATTTGCTTAATCTACTTTCCCACAGGATTACCCTTTCAGTCTGGCTTACTTTGAATACTTGCCTTGAAATTTTGGACAAACAATTTTGAGGAAGCAGAGACAAGAGAGCAGAGAACATATAAATACTTTTTAAAAATCTAGACAGGTATTTCTCATGAGAATTGCAGAAACATCCTAGATGAAAATGCAGTTAGTAAACACACTTACCCTGGTTTCGTGTCATTCACAACACAGTGGAAGGTGAATGTGCCAAACATCTGAACTCCTAAAATTCCATAAAGAAGTAGGAAGAAAAGTAGGAAAATGGAAACACTCCATATTTGTTCTCCTGACCGCCTAGAGGAAAAAAAAAGGAAATCCAATAAGTAAAACTTAAGAAAGATGTCGTAAACTTTTCTCCTTAATTTATGTAAAAGCAGTGCTTACTTTAAAATATTTGTAATTCTGGTCCTTGGTAGTTCAAATCGGAAATAAATGCGGAATGCTCGGATCATAATTAGCGGCCGAGGTATCCGCAACATGCCCCAAGGTGACATCTGATCAACTATATCAGCAATTTCAAATACCTGTAAATTAAGAGGTAAAAAAATAAGTTTAGACTTTCCCTTAGCCTTGCTTATAATCATGGCACATACAGACAGTATCAGGAGGTGCATCCTGTGCCCTGAACTTTGCCCTACATTATTTCCCACTAAAATCAACTTTCTTTTACATACATGTTGAAGCGAGCTATCTTAAGATAAACACATGAGCTAATGAAAGTGCCATTAATCTTGTTCATTTCCTGTATAACTCATCAAGGCACAGTTTTTATTACAAAAACAAGTTCCAACTTAGAATATGGAGTAAGTATGGTAACACTTCCTCACTAAGAATATTCTTTGGTGTAACTTTTTGAGTATCTAGAACAAACAAGTAATGGCAAAAGCGTTAAAAATATTATAAAGGAACCTGAAAAAGAGGCTGTAACATTTACTAACAGAGGCAAAATGATAATGAGGAAGTGCCTGTCAATCATACAGTAGTTATTAAATGGAAAAGAACACATTAATATGCAGGATGAAATTAGACTGTTGGAGAGGTGAGCTTTACAAAAATAAGGAGTGCTTATCAATAGCGCTGTGATAGGTTCACAGACTAGACTGTAAATTTATTTTATTCTGAAGTTTTAATGAAGAGCATAGTAACTTTAGTGGAATTAAATGCAAAATCAAGCCTGAATGAATGTGTGGGAATGAGTCCAAAAAAATAACTCCAGTAAAACTCCCTTTTTAGGCCATTTTAATATATATTCCTGATTTCTTGTAGAAAGGCATTGTCTATTTGCTGGAGAGCATTTTATGTTGACCAATATGTAGCTCAATATATCCATATTTTTAAAGCTGTTTTTAGTGAGGATTCAGTTACATAAAAGACTAGAATTATAATCTTTAAATTCAATTTTCTAGTCTACAAATATAGAATTCTCACCCATGTTCTTCTCTTTATTTCAATGAATATATTTTTATAGCTGTTTAACAAGAAATAATTTCCTATAGTATCAATTCTCATTTCTGCTTGAGAAAAAAGTCACAAACATGACTGACAATGATTAAAATGTTAGGCTTTTAAAAAAATCAGTAAGCATTTAAAATAACATAATGTAGGAAAATAAGCAATCACACTTGATATATATTCTTTAAGAGTTCTATTTAGATTTTTGGTGCAAAACAATGCCCATTTTGGAAAACATCTCCTTGTGATTTAATTACCTGTAACACCAATGAAACCCAAAGGCAAAAGACCATGAATCCATCAAAAACACACCAGCGATCTTTCACATAGGAACTATCCCCCTGAAAATAGATTTAACATGGCGTTATCAGGGAAAATGAATAATGTCATAAAAAACTTCAGTAGAGGGAATAGTCAAGTGTTAATCCAGTATAAGCTATCCACAATCTTTCCATTACAATTGAACAGACTTTCAAAAGGAATACTTCTAGAATTTTAAATGGCATTATATAGGAGGAAAGTAACTTATAAAACACAATTAACTATTGAACTTTGCATGTAAAATTTTAAATTCATGCAAAGGGAAAACATTACTATTTTGTCTCTTAGCCACACAGATCCTACCACTAAAGGAACCAGAGGCCATCCTACTCAACCAGTAGCATCGGTCCTAAACCAGGAACATGCAGTGCTTGGCAGGACTTTAAACTAGAAAAACCACCATTAGTGGGGAATTAACCAGGAGGTCACCTCAAGTTGAATAAAAATGTGAGATGAAACTTGCCTTCATTTTCAATGAAAACATCACCAATTTTAACTTTAATTAGGATAATATATGCAAAAGAGGGATAAAGCACATACTAGTTCAATTTTTTAAATAGTGAATCTACTCTGACATTAGAGTGCGTATTTTTACAAAATAGGAATTTTGAGAAAAATTTTTCCTTTGGAGTAACAAAACAGAAAACCTCATGAGATTCTAAACTTAAAAAGAAAGCAAATCCTACCATTTGCAACAACATGGATGGAGCTAGAGGGTGTTATGCTCAGTGAGATAAGCCAGGTGGAGAAAGACAAGTACCAAATTATTTCACTCATATGTGGAGTATAAGAACAAAGAAAAACTGAAGGAAAAAAAACAGCAGCAGAATCACAGAACCCAAGAATGGACTAACAGTTACTAAAGGGAAAGGGACTGGGGAGGATGGGAGGGAAGGGAGGGATAAGGGTGGGGAAGAAGAAAGGGGGAATTACGATTAGCATGTATAATGTGGGGGGGCACCGGGAGGGCTGTGCAACACAGAGAAGACAAGTAGTGATTCTACAGCATCTTACTATGCTGATGGACAGTGACTGTAATGGGGTTTGTGGGGGGGATTTGGTGAAGGAGGGAGTCTAGTAAACATAATGTTTGTAGATTAATGATACCAAAATAAAAAAATTAAAAAAAAATGAAAAGAAAGGCCTTTGCTTTCTTAGGACTGTCCTCATTAAGTCACTAGTGCTATAGTAATCCATGAAACTTAATTCTGAGTTCAGTTGCATCTGTCATTACCAGCTTTGATTGAACCTGTTTAGACAATAAACACAGAGATGGAATGCAATGATTTTAAGTAAAGTGGTAAATCATGTTGCAAGATATTTAGGAAAACAAAACAACTTCCAGAACCTTCCACCCTTAGTCCAGGTTGTCAAAAAGTTGCCTTGATAAGTTTCCAGAAACAATTTATGTTATTTGTAAAACTAACAGTATAATAAACCACTTAATGAAAGTCATTTTACCCAGATTTAAAATATAAATGCAATTTAGTTAATACTGGGTTGAACACCTACTTTACATTAGGGGATGTTTAATGCCTAGTGAAACATGTAGAATAAAGACACACACACACAGCAATCTCGCGTAGAAAAACAGGTATGTACACACTCAGCTAATAGATAAAGCAGAATAACTTATAATAGAGCTATAGACATGATGGGGAAGATGGGAAGATTATAGAGAAAACAATGCTAGTTTCCAAATGAATGCCCTGATCATTTGATCAGTGGTAAGAGAATCAAGCAAACTCGGTGATGATTCATGTACTTGAGGAGACTCACGTAAGAGGTGAGACGGCAAACTCTGAGGCGTGGGGTCTGGATGACTCAGAAGGCAATGACCTTACTGGATTGTTATGATCATGATATGATGATTTAATAAACCTGATGAAGAGAAGAACTGCCATCTCAGGATGTTGCTGGTGATGAATACACAGACACACACAGACACACATATTGAATACAGAACAAATAATTTAAAGGGTATTAAAGTCATCTTCAAAACCTCATGAAGCATCTTTTACTATTTGTGAAAGCATATTTGTCTTGTATATTGCATAATTAACTGAAAATATGAATTAATTATAATCTAAATATAGGTGATACAGCAACATAAAATTGAATTTTGTCTGGGCCTAATTTTGATTAACATCCAAAAACATAATGGAATACAAATTATTTAAGTTGCACCTTGAATATTCCTTTGAGTTGCTTAACATGCTAAGTGAATTTATGGGTCTGTTCACTCATGCATTCACGCACCCACTCAACGGATAGGACATCTCTGTGCTCTAGACAGTGTTCACGGCACTTGTGATAGAGAAATCAAGAAAACAAGAACTCTTGCCCTTATGTAATTTATATTCTCAGTTAATAAAAAAATGTAAAAAATGCAATATAGTATATGTTGGTAAGTGTTATGAAGAAAAATAAAAGTGTATACTTTCAATTGTCTTTTATTAAACAAATGTTCTTGTATGCTAGGCAGAGAGAGAAAAATATCACTTGATCTTCATTTTGGAATAGGCGTAGTTGTGATTGTTTTAAAAAATGCAAAGATAATGCAAAGAATTCCAAAAATGAAAACAGATTTTTATGGGACTCAGCAGAGAACAATTTTAAAATAGGAACAATTAAAAGTGATTGTTGGGCAGGAAGAAGAATAATTATAGATCCCTGGGTACATAGGCATCCAAACAGGATGAGTTTATATGATATATTCCCCAAACAGTTGCAAAGTATTATTAGTTTATTTCTTTTTTGTCATTAAAAAAATGTTATACGTAGTGTCATTGAAATTAACCTCTTTGGTTGTTCATAATTTGCATTAGTAACAAATTATATTCAATAATTCTCATTAGGTTGAGGATTACTAAAAATGTAAAAGTGAAGATAAACAGTGGTATTTCCCTGGGAGGGGAACCAAGGTAGTTGGGAAGAGAGACGTGTTTTTCACAGTATCTTCGTACATGTCATTTGGCTAATGTTCATGTGCTGTATTTTTTAAAAATATATATTTAAAATGAAATTTTAAAAAAGATGAACAGTTCAGCTTTAACAAAACTTGCAAACTGGCACAGAGGAAGTCAAATATTTAAAACACTGGGGGCTCACAAATTCAGAATATAAAGCTATCAGTAACAGAGTTGGCTCAATTTTTGTTTCTTATTTACTTTATGAATTTGTTTGCTAAGGAAATTGATGTTGAAAAGCCGAACTGAAGAATATTTTGAACTATGTAAAAGATGGATTATTTTGAGTCATTTTAGAAGCCCCAGGGGATCACGAATGAAACAAAAGTATACAAAATATTCTAATTTCAAATGACTTCATATGAACACCGCCTTAGCAAGACTTCTACTACATAACATAGAAGACTATTTTTTAATTAGGAAGTAATTTTAGCTGCATTGTTTGGAATGTTTTCTGCTCGACTTTCCAAACACTCACGGTGACATTTACCTGTTGCCAACAAGACCGCCACACACTAGATGGTGTGCCGTAGTCAATCAGAGCTGGCTTCTTTTTCAATTTCCTGGTAAAGTATGTGAAATAACCCCACTGGGCATAAGTTTTCTATATTATTTTTTTGGCTCATGCTCCCAAGAAGCATTCAATATTTATAAAAACCTTCAATAAACAGTGTCATAGTGACCTGGGATACAGACAGATAATATTCATATTTTTCCCATTTTCTTTACATTTTTCTTCTTTAGTGTTACTGTTCTTCATGCTGTCTGTCTTTCTGAAAAATAAGGTCTGTGCCAACTTTTCCCTGCCAACTCTGAAGCGACCGTAGCATGCTCTGATCAGTGCTTTAGCTCACACATGTCATGCGACAAACATCAACTGAATTCAGGTATATATGTATAATATTCGTATTGTGTGACTTACAGAATAGTCCTTTGTAATCCCCTTCTGGTTGTTTAATGAATTTCTATTTTAGCCCCTTCCATTTATTAGGTCTCACTGTGAAGGTTGGGTTTCCTACTTAAATCTCTTAATGTATTCTCGGGTGTTGCATTAAAAAAAAGTCTGTCCCCATGGTAGATGTTTGAGTCTGTTCTGCAAGATTAATAATACCTTGAGACTTTAAACTAGACAATTTTGGATGGTATTTTCAGCATCTAACACAGTGTATGACATCCAGCAGATAGTAAGTGAATGAATTAGATAAGCACATGAATCATGTCTTAGAAAGCTTCTGTAGATCGCAATGCACACAGTAAGAAATCCATTCATAAGCTTTATGAATACATCCATCCACCCATCCTTTCTGAAACTACTAGTATTGTTCCCAAAGAGAAATGATTCTTTGAGTGCTGGCAAAGAGAGAAAAATGCATTACCTTTCAAGGTAATATCTTAAAGTTAATACTCCTGCATGATCATGAAAGACCACAAATGAAATTATGAGATAACTTGTGGATATTTCCTGGATTCACATAGTTTGAATAAGCAAAACCTACATGCCATGCAAAGATGTACTGGGTCAAGGATTATATGGATTATATAATATGTGCACAGCAGTGCAATTTAAATATGACTGAATTGAAATGGAAATCATATTAATCATTATTGATGATCACTAAAGGCTCCGTAAGTCTAAAATACCTTTTAATAAAATACAGACTTTGAAAGTTGGCACTTTGAAATACAATCTACATTTTGTGTCTGACATATTTATCAAATTGTCTCTTTCAATTTGTATTTTCAAAGACTTTTTACCGTAATTAGTTAAGTGTTGCTATGATTAAAGTTATAACTATGTCAGATCCCTTAAAGTCCTACTGTATTAGTACTCAAGTTATAATATTTGCGAATAACAAACTGAATCTTTACTGTTTCCAAATTATGTTACCAGAGCCTAACACCCATGGTTCTTGAGAAATTTCAATACCCTGAGTATGAAAGAAAGCTTCTAATTTGTTTGTTGCATCAACAAGAAATGGAGAGCAGAGAGTGCTTAAACTATGGGCAAAAATCAGCATGCTGGTAGCTGAGGAGATGAGCTATTCAGGAGC